CTCTAGAGGGTTGTATGTTTATATCATAATTTGACTTTTATAAAAATGATTATTCTAAATCTTATGTTCCTATAAAAATATACTGTGCTTTAAAAATGTGGACGATAGTATCATCCGCTCTTTCGGCCACTTCAAAAGCATCAGTTTGTTTAGAAATAAATTATGCAGTTAATGTCATAAAATTCAAATAAATATCAAATGAAAATTCATTTTAAACGAAGTAAAGTAGCAGACGATAAAACGCCGAAGGTAAAAATTTACTCTTTATTTTTTTAAAAAAAGGAAGATAGAGAGAAATTTTAAAAAAATAGTTAAAAATTTGAATAATATCACCTATAATTTAAAAAAATAGCTTTTCATATAGTATTAATAAATATTTATTATGCATCATTGAGGGAAAAAATGTCATATAATTAATTCTCCGTAAAATTTTACTTGAAATTTAAGGTTAAAAATAGCTGTGGCAAATGAACAAAAAAGTTTCAAAAAATCACATTAGACCACTTGGCTTATTATCGCTCAAAAAAAAAAGATCAAAACCAAATTTCAAAACTCGAAAATATGTAAATTAATGTATATCTTAGAAAATTTTGAATAATAAAAAAGTCTAATTTTTTTCAGATATGCTTAAAAATACACCTACTTTAAAATGGTGGTAAAACTTTTATAGGTTATAGTTGGAAATGTTTTTCGAAAAATTTATAAAAATTATTTAAAAATAGAAATTTAAAAAATAAAACACAAAAAATGGCCAAATTTTATTTGGAATGAACCTAAATTTCGAAATGCGAGAGAAAAAATCAAAAACATTTAATAAAAAAAGAGATATTAATAAATATTTGCCAAATTCAATTAACATTGAGGAGCTAAAATTTTGAGAGCTAATATTTTAAAAACTACTCGTACGATTTTTACAAAACTTGGTATTCTGGCATAATTTGAGTCGTAGAATCGAAATATGGATAAAATTGTTATGTTATTTCAGAAAAAGTCCGATTTTGGGTCAAAATACCTCTGTTAGAATAGTGCTATATATAAATCTAATATATATCCTAAGTCGCGCTTTCGAGACATGAAAAACGCAGTTTGAATTTTGTCAATCGGCCCATTAGAACGGGAGATATAGCACTGTCCCATTTTTTTTTTAGCAGTGTACATCTATCAGTAATTAAAATTTTATCCTTGTAATCCTAAACTTAATTCATTTAACTTTCCAATAATATCAACTAAATACGCTAAACACGCCAACCATAATTCACTAAATAAACATTTTTGCAATTCAAATTTGGAGTCACAGATGAAAATTTAAATTTTTTATCGTAATTCAAAAAGAAGATTTAAAACTTTACCTCTGGATAACCACCTTGCTTTGGAATGTAACAAAAGCGTTTCACGTTCACTGCCCATCTCTTGGCATAAAATTGTAAATGTTCTTGAATTTAAAGCTCAGCTTTACATAAAATTAACAATATTCACAGCTTGATTCAAAACGATTTTCAGGTTTTCGGGGATTGTTTTGGCTACTAAAGCTTCATGATGAATGGAGCAGTGAGTAAATTTAGTTTCAGTTGCGACTTTCTTTATTTGAGAAATAACACCTGAATGTTTTCCATTAAAGACCGAGCTCTATCACTGCATATGGCAATGCACTTATTCCAATGAATATCATTCTCAGGCATAAAATTGTCAATTACTTTGAAAATTTCATTTGCAGTTGTTCTATCATGAAGGGATTCACAATATACCCATCGGCAATTTGTTTATCTTCTTTGAAAAGCATGTAAACTAATAATTGAACAAAATTCGTTACATCAGTAATTTCATCCAATGGCAATGCGAAATACCTACTGTGCATTTTATTTTTTGAATAAGTGTCCCTTTTAGGGAATTTTCCATTTCATGAATTCGTCGACTTACTGTATCAATTGATAGTGGAATATTATTCACTAACATAACCGCTTTTTCACTAAATAATGTTTAAAACGATATTTTAGCTGTTGGTAATTTAAGGTTAATACTACTTTTGGGGAGCAGCACTTCTGTTTGCTGCGCGTCTAGGTTCAGCGCCGTCTCTTTTGCTTTTGCACCACTCTCACAAGGCTAGTCTTTATAAGCTTTATATTCATCAATTTACCAAACAACCAATCATGGAAATGTCCATCACCTGTACAACTACTATCTATCATTCAAACCACAATTTTATTGCTTCTTTGACAGGGGGAGAAAAGCAAAGAAAGGGGGAAAAAGCAATTTAATTTGAAGTTAATTTTGCTATGCATATTAAATCAATATTGCAAGTTCTCTCCCTCTTTCTCTTCAGCTGGCAGCTTTTTCCTTTAATAACTGGCTATATATCTTTCTCACTTCATGGTGCACATGCTGGTCATTTTTGTTACTGAAAAATATTGAAATAAATATTCAAAAATATTAATTTGAATATTTTTTTCAATATTTGATATTATTGAAGAATATTTCAGAGCGTTACCTAGTTTAAAATAATCCTTCCCAATTTCCCATGTTTTATGAAATGACGTTTAACATAAGAAAAGATTATGAAGCTTGATGTACAAATCTGTAAAACATAAATTAATTAAACTGAGTGAGGGTCTGAAATAAAATTTTCTTGTATTATTATTAAACCTTCAGCAAGTGCAATTAATCTATGAGATACTTTCTTTACATTTAAGTTTAGGGAGGACAATCCCACTAATCAAAGTATTGATATGTAAAACTTACTATAAAATATGGCTAACTCTGAGTAAAATATTGCCAATATTTGTGATGGCTATATGTGAAAGTAATTTTAGAAAGTTATCTTCATCTTCAGTTTTTAGTGGACAGCAAAACTCATATTTCAATTTATACACAGCTACCTAGATACTTATGGTTAATTTTAAAATTGATCTTATCTTAACATTATCATGTGTGCTTCTGAGACTATTTTTTTATTTTCTGAAGCTATTTAGACACTGTTCACTCAGCAAAGAATACAAAAACAAATCGAGAGGGTCTACCATTTCCTGTTCTGTATTAAGTAGTGAATTTTAAATCTCCATAGTAAACTAAGTGTCGAGCCTTATTTAATGTATTGAATACACGGAATATGTATGCCCCTGCCTCCAAAAAAAGTTTAAAAGTGCAGATTTTAGATTATAACAAGAATAAGATTCCAAGGCACTCTTCAGATAACAAAGAGTGCAAAAAGTAAGAGTAGTAAGTAAGTACAAAGATACAAGGTATGAAAAAATGTAACTTTTTTTATGCATGCCAAATCATAATGTCAGACCTAAAACCAAATTAATCACTAAATGAAAACTACTTGAATATAATACTGTGAAATAAATATATACACACACACACACACAGAAAAAAAAAAAAAAGTAATACAAATCTTTGTTTAAAACTGCATTTATTTGTTTGATATATGACAGACAAGAAATGCAATCATTAATCACATCAAGATTTCAAAAAAAAAAAAAAATTAGCAATAAAATGTTCCCATAATTTCAGTCATTTTACAAGAAAAATTATCACATTTACAAATATGGTTGATTTTTGATACACAATATACATTTCTTAAGACAATGCAACTCTGATACACTGACTTTAAAAGTGAAAAACCATACAGAAATAATGCTGCTTTTTTCACAAAAAGCTCAGGTTATTAAGCAATAAAATACAAAGTATAGAAAGGTCATAATTCAAATTTACTACATTCTGAAAAAGGGCAGAGATTTCACAATGTACTCTGTTAATGTAACATATTTCATACACAGTTTGAATAATAATAGTAATTTTAAAAAAATGGGTAAATGATTCAATAGATAGTTAAACTTACTCGTGATAATAATGAAGCTATCAAAATTAAAAAGGAAACAAGATCATGTAAATTATATAAAAACATTTAATGTCTAACTAATGACAGCTGCCCACAGCAATTAAAATTTAAATCAATTATATTTTGGCAGCTACTCTTCCAGAAGCTTATCTTAAAGCTACATTAAACTATTTGCATCATTATAGCTGTAGCTTTCATTCAAGAAAACAACTAAATAAAACAGACTTAATTCTTGAAGGTCTTAGGATAAGAATTAATAATACCAAATACTACCAGATTTCAGTTTAAATGAATACATACAGTTCACAAACACACAGAATTATAATCTTCCAGACTATGGAAAAAATCTACAGAAGAAGCATTTCATTCAAAAATAAATACTAGTACATTACAGTTAAGTCCCAAAGAATTTCTGCCAGCAAAACCAAAACATTATGGATTATATACAAACTACCTTTTTGTTCAATATGCTTAAACACTATTTATGAAGATAACCAAAACAAATCAATGCAATTTTGTTCTTCACACCATTTTTCTTTAGTTTTTTTTAAATTTCTTTTAATTTGAAAAATAGCAAAAAATAATTTATCTTTTTAGTGCAAACATCTTAGAAGGAATTGCCAAATTTTCAGAATGCTTCAACTCCATCATGTGCAAGCAATACCATCACCTTACTGTGCATTCTTTTACTTACATTTGAAATGTTTTTATATGCAACTGACTTTTTTTTTTTTTTTTCCTTCAAGTAAAATTTTAAAGTATGCACTTGCGAGATTTGCTTGCAATGAAAGAAACTATGGCAAAGTTTCTGCAGGAATATAATATTTTATTGTCAAACCACTAAAAAAAATAATAAATATGAAAGCCTTTGTAAAGTGACTGTCATGAAATTTCTGGCATATTAAAAAAACAAAAACACTGTTTAAGTAAGATAATCAGATAAATACTTTACTACAATATACATGTTCAGAATAAAAAGTAAAGGTTTTTTTTAATTACAAGATATCATTCTTTTCCATTTGTAAAAGAATGCCAAACTGTGCCAAGGTGGTTGTGTTAATACGTAAGCACCTAAAAAATTAGTTAAAATAGGAAAAATTATAAAATTAATTATTTTTTAAAGAAAATCTTATAACTCTTATTTCCCAATTTTTTAAAAATACCTTTTACACTGGAAATTTTGAATTTCTTTTTAAACTATAAATTTAATAAACTATATATATATAACAGCAAAGATAAACACACCATTTTTATTATTTTATGTGCAAATACAGAAATAAAAACAGAATGCCAGCTATTCCACGTCACCATTATAGTCTAAAAATTATTTCTTTAGACATCGGGCAAAATAAAAATGAAAGTATTCCTTCAAAATAGTTTATTCAACCCAGTGTTTACCAAAACATGTGTCTAGCACAAATTAATTTTCGCTCGGAAATAATAAAAGTTATTTCAAAAGCTTTTAGAATATTCTTCTATTATGATTTATACAATGTTGCTTCCCAAGAAGAAATAAATGTTTAGCATAATTGATGACATCAGCACCAATTGTACAAAAGACAACTTTTAAAGCAAAACAATGCACAGCAAATATTTTCATTTTCTCTTTCAACAATGCAATCATACATATCCTCTAACAAAATCAGAAGATAATGTTTATCCTGTATTTTATGCAACATCATAAAAAATACATTTTTCAATAAGAATAGAAATTTTAAATTACTAAAGTATTGCTTCATTTGTAGATATTTGCCATTCACTATGTATTTCATTTAGGTGTTTGAATATAAGTATGGATTAAATATTTTTTAAATATGTAGGGCATTAAAATTATCCAGGGCTTTTATTACAAGAAACACTACAAATAACTAATAAAATTACAAAGCATACAAACTGGTTAAAAATACATTTAAATTTTTACAAATAAAAAAATTATACCAAAAAATCTCAGCTTAAAATATAAATTTACAATAAGGATTTTAAATCTTTACAACTGAGAAACAATTCTCAGTCAACTTATTGCAACATATATGATGGGTAATAGGTAGTGACTAAGTGTCAAATGCAGAAGCTTAATATTACGTCTTCATATATAAAATTTTAAAATGTAAAATGCTGATATTACAGAAACTGAATTGTTAAAAAAATTAACAATTTAAATCCCGTAAATGCATACAGTATTGAGAAGAATGTGCAGTACATTTAAACTAAAAATGTCTTCTAGTGAGTTATTTTTCATCATAAATACAATATTCTTTCAAGTGTTCAATAAATTCAACTTCATATGTGCCTTATAGTTAACTGAAAATGTCATAATGTAAAATTCCTCAACAGCTGCAGAAGAAAATATTTTTCAATGGGAATTAACACACAGATCTAATTTACTTAATGCAATGGATTCAGTCCTTAAAATCAAACAGTTTTCAAATCAACTCTTTGCATTTTTCAAACCCAAAGCATCTCTCAGGAGCTTTGCAACACTTGCAATATCATTTTCTTCCTCTCCTGTAAATAAGAAAATAAAAACTAATATATATTAAACATATAATTAGAATACTATAAGTATTTTATTAATCTTAAATGCGCTGCTATATGACTATTACAAAACTTGCTGAGTATAACCCCCCCACCATGACCAAAGATGATTACAGTTTTGACTACCAAACCTTTTATTTAATTATACAATCACAAACAGTAATTGTCTTGGAAAGCTAGCAGCCAGAAAAGGTTTCACAAACTCTCTTCTCTCTATCTATATAAAACACAAACATTATTTAAAAAAAAACTTTTTTAATTAAATCAAAAATGATAAAAATATATAATAGTTGTGCTAAAAAATTACACTCAAAATTAGTGGTAACATATGTAAAAGATACAAGTAAGAATAAAATAGCAACTGAAAAGTAGAATATAATCCACGAATATATTTCCAAAACCCAAACTTTACAATGCAGCCTTGTAATATCGGAGATAGATTTGATTATTTACTCTTTATTTTATTATTACTTTCAATCTGCTGATTAAGAACATTTTCTAAACCTTTTTTTTTTTTTTACTTTTAGGGGAAACATCTCTATCTATACTTGCAAGTTTAATCAATTATTTACCCCAGGGGAAAAAAAAATTGCATTGCTTATTCCTTTTCTCACCTCTATATATAGACACACACAACAGACAAACACTGAGATATACGAGTATTTAGCTTATTCAATGCAAACCTGCACAGTTATGCTACTGCAAAATCAGTCCTTGACTGAAACTACAAGAGCAGCATATTTTTTAAAGATAGCTAACAATATATAAAGGCATGTTTTAAAAAAGAAAGAAACAAACAAGAAGGAAAGCATTATGCATTTTTTATGAGTAGAGGCAAAACTGGATACTAAAAGTGAGCAAAAGGCAAGAAAAACCAGCCTGGAGGAGTTGTTGGATCAAACCAAAATGGACAGTACGGCCTGGAAAACCAAACCAAAGAAACTTGTAGGTGATAAGGAGGAGAAAGATGCGCAAAGCAAAATGACACAGAGGAGTAATGTGATATTCCTTATCAAAATGTATGTGGACACCAAAGTGAACAAAGAGGATATCATGGATAAGGTAACATTTCTGTCCCCCTTTCAACAAAGCAAACAAAAACTTGCAAGGGCACGTTCCCAAGCAAATTTAACAAACCAAAAATAATATGTGATACTTTTCGAAAATTATAAAAATTTGCAGTATTACATTTCAAAATAGCATACAATATTTTTAATATAACTATCTAACAAATGCATTAAAAACTGAAAAATATGAATTATTTAAGCCATTACTAATTACAGTTTTAAATTATTACATACATCATTATAATCAGACTCATACCTGTCTGCTAGGAAGAACAAGGGAATGATAAAACATGAATTTAAGAATTATTTATCTTTCATTTACAAGAATGGATGAACACATTTTAAAGATAAGAGAAAAATGTCCATCTTAACCATTTAAATTAAAAATCAGATTTTGCCATTTCTGAACTATGGCACAGATTTTATGCCTTCCTTTTAGTATTTGATTCTGATTCAGTTGTTTTTAGACACTGCTTTACATATATTTCTAAAGCACTGTACTACCCCATTTCATTTTAATTTCTCAAACTATTTTAGTAGTCAAACTTGTTTGGCATCAAACACCAACAAAATCTACATCTACAAGGTTTGCACACACTTCTACACACAGAAATTTAGTACTTTTAAGGAACATTAACTCTTTGAAAGTTGTCCAGACGTTATAGTGGTTAGGGGAGCCTACAAATGGAACCGAAGGGCCCGGGTTCGAATCCCAGAGGAGACATGGATGTTTGTAAATGTATAGTGTCGGTGCGGCATGGTGGCACTCTAAATATGAGGCGAGCCGAAAGTCCTCTAGTGTGGAATGGTGGGAGTGGAGAGGGGTGGGAGAGCCCCGGATCCTCCCCCCTCCCCGAGTGCTCTTCCTCAAAATTGGGGAGGAAAATAGAAGTCCAACCTCTCTTTGGAGTAGTCTCTTGCAAACATTGTTCCATGTAACATGGGCAAGACAACAACTCTTTGAAAATCAAAGACATCGCTAACCTGTATGCTTGAAATATGGAAGCCCCCAAAATACCTTTTGAGTTCACAGAAGTTTCCTCCCCTCTTCATCCATTAACACACAAAAAGGTGTGAAAATTTAAAATGCCATCATTTCTACCTCTTAACAAATAAAGATAAGAAACCACAAATAAATACTTTCAGGACAACCTGTCTGCAATAAGCTGATACGATGCATTTGGGGACATTGCACCAGTTACTGCATACCTTAGGAGGAGCCAAGAAACGAACATGGCAATTTTGGCCATTTCAGGCAGTTGTAGTCGTTTGAATGAAAGGTTCTCTAAGGCATTTTGGTCTTCAAGGAGTTAACAAAAAATAAATTAAGGACCTACCAGCTAATGGGAATTGAATAAGATCAATTAAAGATATTACCTATGCCTGAACTTCGCTTTTGTAAAATAACAGGCTTTGTACACATTTCTGCACACGGAAATTAAGTACTTTTAAGGACTTTTAAGGACCATTAATGAAAAAAATTAAGGACCTATGAGCAAATGTGTACTGAATAAAATTCAATTAAAAATATTATCCATGCCTGAATTTCACTTTTCTAATCCCTAAGTAGTATGCATTATTAGTAAACATGAATTAATTAAGATGATTATTAATAAGTTTGAGAATAAAATAAACAGTAGCATTAAATATTTTAAACTTATAATAGTTGGTTATATTTAAAAGAAGATAAGTGACATTTACGTTTTACTAACAGTTAGCTTTGTGTTGATTTTTTTTTATGTCTCATTTTGTCACATACTAGGTCAGTCTAGAGGTTTAGTAAATAGCAGGCAGATTTTATATCAAACGGCATAGGTTAAAATGAGAAGTAAGATCATAATCAGCATGATTCAAAACAAAAGACTGAATGCTGTCACCGCTGCTGCTTGTCTAGAGAGAGACCTGCTGATTAGAACAAACCTGAAAGGCCTGATGTAGGCACAGTTGGCAAGTGTTGAAAGTTAGTTTTCTGTTTCAGGCTTTGTTTGATGCAGTTAGTTTCATAGCTTCGTGTAGAGTTCCAGGGGTTGTAACCCAGTTAATATATTTTAAGGTTCCAATAAGCCATAAAGCACCAGAGGTGATAAGTTGTTTTGCATTATTTTAAGTCTCAGTAGATGCAAATAAGTTTTACTTGAATTTTTACATTTTTAAATTTTATCTTGTAACAACCACAGTGATTATTAATTAAAGGCAACAACTCGCTTTATTATGTAGAAATAATTTTTAAGAGTAAGGAGTTAGTTATAAATAATTAAATTAGGTAGTTAGTAACCTTAGTCATTATGGATTTACATGACAACTATCAAATTGTATTTTTTAACAATATTTGTTAAAAAAAACCCTATTAAAATCAAAATCTAATAAATTAATCTAATTGATTCTTAAACAATATTAGGATAATTACACATTAAAAGCTACAAAACAAAAAATGTTTTGTAACAACAACACTCAACAAAATAGTTATCCGCTATTTTAATTTGAAGCCTTCCCAGATATTTTGGCTACTTTATATCGATTTCCTTCTCTTTAAGCATCTTTTTCTGACAAATATTTGTCTCAATATGCATATCAATGCTCTTGCTAGTCTTTGTATGCTTTATCTCCTAACTTGTCAACCTCTCCATAATGTAGCTATGAGGGTTTAATTGATCTGGTAAAAGTTAAATAGTCCAAAACCCCCAACAGACATGAAGCTAATTACCACTATATCTGAAAGTAACTACAATATCAGACAAAGGTTTAAATAAGCCTCTTTTTTATTTAAAAAAAAAATTAAAACATAAAAGCATGTTGATGCTAATAAAAGTCAGTTACAGCTCACGGTGACGTAATTAAACAAGAACAGTCAAATTCAAACTAATAATGTGGACTAGTGGTCAAAGATTATACAATTTAATTTTAATTTTATCTGGCTCAGTAAATCTATCATATGAGGAAATAGAAATGGGAAATTATAGTAAAGGCTGAACTCATAAACAATTGGGTAATTTAAATAATAATAACTGCACATATCTTTGGAGAATAATTTTCTTTTTATATTCAGTTTCTTTAACACATTTCCTTTTCATTTTAGAATTTTTGGATTTAATTAAAGATTTCTGTTATTCTATAAGAACACTAAATGCATTTAGAATGTACAGAACGGCTAATTTGATTTCTTTAGTAAAATGAACATTTAGAAGAAATTTGAAATACATATGGTAAAGGCCGGTTACAGAGCTGATGTGGCAGAATTTTTAGAATTTAGTGAAACATCGAACAACAAAATCTAGAAATGGCAAAACTTTTAGAATTTAGACAGGCACTAGGCAGCAGAATTTAGGATCCACAGAGATTGCATCAGGTGGGAAAATGCCTAGTGCCAGCTATGTGTATGATGCATTAAGACATATTAGATGAAGCTTTTAAATTTAAGTTCTCAATTTCCTTATTAATAAAAAAATCCCTATTTATAATGCCTGTCCATGTGATAAGATTAGAAGCATTTTTGATATTTTCCATGCTAGTGTCTAGTGAAAAGTAGAGAAAATAAAGAGAAGATAAACATGTTAAGATTCTAGTTATCAGAAGTAAAACATTTAAACATTATGTTTTCATTGTTCTTCCAGACATTCTCCAAAATGTAAGAAATTCATTGCAAACTTTCTGTAAAATACATCCATTACGTGTTGATACCATGGAGACAATTTTCATTTTGTCACATATTTCTCGAATCTTCTAGAATCGTGGGTCTATATATCTTGCCTTCAAATCCTTTTAAGCTTTCCAAGCTGTAATGTCTAAAATCCTAAAGAAAAATAATCCCTACCATTTCTGTAACAGCAAAAAGCCAGAAATATTTTGGGAAAAATGAGGGGGGGTGTAAAATTAATTTTGTAGAGAAAACTGATGCACATTCTG